GCAAAAGGGAGGGCCTGGCTCCTTGGGTGACATTCTTTGGCTGGTTGAAGGAATGAGAAAGAGGAGCTCCGGAAGGGGGATGTTGTCTGTCGGTTCCTTCCTGGCAGGAAATTTTTACAGTCTGGCAGAAAGGAAGTCAAGAAAGGATAGAGCAAACTGTGCTAACCGCAAGGGAATCCTTGTCCTCCAGCATGGAGCTAGAGGCTCTGAGTTGCTGACTTGCTCTGCAGAACTGGATGGTCACTCTACGTGAAACCAACTTCACTCTGACTACTCTGGGCCTGAGACTGTTGCTCATGATTATAGAGACCCAATGTGCAAGTGCTTCCAGCTCAGAACAGGCAGCATAACAGCCACTTTGGGACAAATACATTAATTTTTATCATATTAATTTATTAATTTTTATTATATTATAGAAGACTAGCACCTCTCTGGCATGGAGTAGTGTCTTGCAGTGGCCTTGTCTGCTCTTTCTGCTGACACAGCTGTTCTCCAGCCCCTCTGGTGAGCTGGTTTGGGGAGATAAACTGGCTGAAAAGGTATCCTCCCTGTGCAAAAGCGATGAGTTTTCACCACTGATCGGATAAGGCAGCGCGGATGGGAGGGAGGGAATGGGAATGGGTGGCTGGGGGTGGTGGAGGAACGGCAGAAACCACAACACCCTGACTTAGGGCAATTAAACTGTTGTGGAATTTCACCTTAGGCTTCAGTGGGAGTTAATGTAAGCAACACCGCAGCCCGGGCTTCCCGGTGCGGCACGGGGAGAATCTGCCGCTGCGGAGCCGTAAGGAGAAAGGAATGAGGGAAGGTTCCCACAGACGAGGCCGTCTCTAACTCCGAAAGAAACCCAACAGTTGGTGATTACCCAAACTAAGCGCATTTCCACCGTCACCGCCTCTTAGGCTGTCGCTGCGGGTTCGTTTTGAGAGAAGGGCAGAATGTGCTGGCGTCGCGTTGCCGCCCCCCTTCCACGAAGCCGCTGATGTGCTCAGAAAGAGGCTGTTTTGGAAGCCTGCACTCGAGGCGTACTCATTCTGAACTCGTCAAAATGAATATTTGCATAGGAAACGGTTCTGTAAGTTTGTTTGCATCACAAATGAAAAAATAGCCCCGTGCTGGATGTAAACATGGGTGATTATGATTAAGTTCGGGCTGATTTTAGCTGAAATCAGGCACAGGTTTACTGGTATACTCTCCCCCATTCATCATAATTATGATTTTGTTTCTGTAATTGCCCTTATATAAAGAGATGCATGATTTATATAAATTCTTACATAAAGAAACTGTCAGATAAGCCAAATGAAATGTGATATGAATGAAACTATTTTGTTTTCTCTAGGCTGGTAGCTGGGGTGGTCAGACAGACCCTGTGGACCCACAGGTCTAATCCCAGCAGACAGACCGTGTGTGTTTCAATGAAATATTCATGAGTCCAGGAGGGCATCCATGGGGTGAACATCACCCCATGGAAATCTGAATATATTCCCTATTGCTCTCGGCAACGTGTAGACGGCTYGGAGAATTCAGAAGGTGGCCTGGGCTTGTCAAGAAATTTCCCGCTGCTTTGGATCTAATGATCGTGTCCATATTCTCATTATTGTCTCACCTCTTGTTTGATTAGCCAGTTTCCAAAATTAGGCAGTTTAGGGCTTAACTCCATCTTTATCCCATGTGGAAGCATACAGCTTCATAGACAGACTGAGGAATGGMGCTGGTGTGTAAGGAGGGTGCTCAGTTTTGTGATAAATGAGGCAGGTTCTCACTTAGCTACTTAATACGAGCTTAAGTGCTGAACATTAGAAACACCTTCATGGGATGATGTTAAGTCTCTATTTTTGAACTGATTGCTTTGAAGACCTATAGGTTAGGAGGGGGAAGGAAAATTGGTAATGGAGCAAAAATGACTGTGATTTAGAGATTGAATTGCATACAGCTAGAGCCATGCATCAGTATAATGAGATTCAGTCTTGTTTGGTTACAAGGACTGGAGACAGAGGCAGAAAATGTGATCCGCCAAGGCTGCTCTCAGGAAATGAGAAACAATAGAGTGAGGAAATCAAATTTCAAACTGCAGGGATATATTTATCAAGTTTGCCTTAGAATTTTCGCAGAGATTTTTGACCGCCTCCGTGCAGCTTTYTCGCTCTTTTTCTTTTTTTGTTTATTTTTTTTTCCGGCCAGCCGACATATGGCCGGAGGATTAGCTGAGCATAAAGCACTGCTGTTTGTGACCCATTTGTTAATGCGGGGCTGGGGTCAGGCAGAAGCGCCTCGTTGTTCGGTGCTTCTCAGGCGCTGTTCCTGCTGCCAGTCACTCCGCGGCCAGACGCTTGGCGCAAACTCATTAGCTAATTAGTGGTGCGTGGACGACCCTGGCGTTACGGCGGGGGGAACGGGGCCTCCTGGGGCCTCCTGGCAGCCCCAGTTTGCTGCGCTGGTTGGGTGGCCGTGGTGGGGCAGAGTCGCTTGCAACAGCCACTCCTCTCCGTATCCTCCTGCTCCCGGTGATGCCGAAAACTGGGTTTTAACCGGGTTAAAAGCAGTGACTGTGGTTGCTAATATCCCATGAGAGCCACAGGTCCATGCTCAGAGTATCTGTTTGCCCTGTGTGTGTCCCATTGCAGCCTGGTGAATCTTCACTGCTGCTGGATATCCACCAGGCACCGGTGCAGCAGCAACACTGCAGCTTCAGGTGTTAACACAGGTGCAATAATAAAAAAATGCAGTTTTACTTGGGCAGAGCTACATTTTCCTCACTTGTACTGCGCGGCTTGATGGGGTTGATAGGAAATAGGGCTTCCCTGATGCAAGTGTGCTGGTGGCAGCAGCGCTTTGCTGGGTTAGTTTATTTGTGCAGTGCAGACAGGATCCCACCTGGGATGAGCTGGATATGGAGGTGGAGTTCCCACTGTGTCTCAGAGCTGTCTGGGCAGAGCCGGGAGGGAGCTGCTGCGAGGAGAGGCAGCAGGAGTAGTCTTTTCCTCACATTTTGTTTTAAACAAGAACTGCCGTCTTGTTCTTYAGAGCTGTCAGCACCTAATCATTAGTATTAATGAACATGCGCAGAAAAATCAGGTTTCCGTACATGTGGGCACTCAGCCTTCATTTGTCCATTGCTGGGTTTTTTTTTCCCTAGAGGGAAGTCTTCCYTCAGCTCCCGCTGATAGTGTCAGATGCTTCTAGATACTTTATTTTTTCATCCAGAATTAAATTATCCTCTGCTCTCCCAGCCCAAGGTTAGCGACTAAGCCAATACCACAGCTGGCTGTGGAAGGCTTGAATTCCCAGCTACCAGCTGGTATTCGAAGCATTTGAACTCGGAGCAGCTCCAAACAAGCAGCTTGTAATGCAGTTTGCTCTGTGTGTGTTGCGCTGCAGTCCATGTTCATGTGTGTTTAAACTTGATCCATCTCATGTTGTAGTCAGGAGGAATTTTGCTGTTGACTCCGAAGGAAAAAGGTCTGGGTGGTAAGTTTGCAGTGCCGGGCCTGGCCTTCCTTTCCCTTGWGCAGCAGCATTTTATAAAGTGGACATTGCTCCAAGTTTCTCTCCTTTTATTACGTTTCAGTAAGGAGACAGTCCTTGGGAAGCGGGAGTTTAAATGGCCATTAAATGGTTTCTCTCCTGACCTGCATCAACCCCAACTGTCTCCTCAATACCGATGTCCCATTTCCTTGAATTGTCTTTATTTTTTTTATTTTTTTAGTGGGGGGAAATATTCAAGGAGGACAATAGCACCACTAACCTCCTTCAACCTGTCATCTCGGACACAGAGGATTCCCAAGGGGAAGAGCACGTGCTCCAAGGCACCCAGTTCCCATCGGGGTGGCTGCTGCTGAGCCTGGAGCTCCAGCGAGCTCCACATTGAGTGCAGTGACCATGAAGGCCTCCCTCCATTAGCGCCAGCTCCCTGCTGTGATTCCAAAGGGTCCCCAGGTGCGTAAATGCCATTATTTCGTATTGACTAATTGAGCATCGGGAGAGGGAGTGGCGTGGGAGGAAGAGAGCAGTCACCAAGAGCGCACGGTTCCGAGGGGCTGYTTTCAGTGACATGAGCCATCGTGGGGTCTATAACCCACCCCGGGCCGTGCCTTTTGTGGGGCAATACCTCCTCCTGCGGCACGGCGCTTCCCCGGCCCCAGTAAGATCCCCATCCTGGCACATAAATGAGGAGGTGGGCTCGCTCCTGCTTCCCAAAGCTGTTCCGTGCTTTCCTGCTGCTGCTCTCTAGGGAAACGCTGTGGCACCCAGCACCAAAACGTCTCCGTGGCCGTGATGGAGGCCGCGCGTGCCGAGATGCGCCCGAGACCCTGCGTATTTCCATGGGAAGAGCCAGGCCGTCTGTGTGGAGAGCATCCCGAATCAGCTCCTCCGACCTCCATTCCCAACCCGCTGGGCCCTGTGGGGCTCTGGTGGGGCCATCTGTGCCGGTGTTGGGCCGTTTTGGTCTCCTTCCGTCCATGTGGGACAGGACTCGCGGCTGTTGGGCCGTTTTGGTCTTGTTCCGTCCTTGTGGGACGGAACCCGCTGCCTGTCTCCGGTCAAGAGGTCCCTGTGGGGAAGGCGGTGCCGGTCACCCCCAAAGCCGCCCCTCATGGGGGACCTGCCCTGCTGCAACCCCCCCGGCTCGGCCCTTTCTGAGGGAAAAGGGAGTATTTTATTAGAATGAATGCGAAGGGAATCCAGGCATTCTGGTCATGCGGGGAGCTGCGCCGAGGGGAAATATCCGCCTTTATAAAGGGGAAGCAGCGTGACGCGGCGGCGCTGCGGGGTCCCGGCCGCGGGGAGCGGAACGGAGCGGATGGGAGCGGGCCGGGCCGGGGGCGGCGCCGCCGCCGCGAACGCGCCTCGGGGCCGCGCGCGCCGCCGGTTCCGCCTCCTCCGCCGCCGCCGCCTCCTCCCCCCGGCCGCCGCCATGTTGGATGGTGCGTGTGGGTGTCAAACGCAGCCAGAGGCGGCGGCTGCCGGCGAGCGAGGCGCCCCCCTGCGCGGCTCCCTCCCCGTCCCCGCCGCTCCTCCCGCGCCCGGCTCCGCGCTCCCCGCACGCAGCCACAGGTCAGTCCGGGGGGAGCCGCGGCGGGGCGTGCGGAGGGCGGCGGAAGAGCCGCCCCCCCCCCCAACCTCCCCTCAGCGGCGGGTGGGCGCGGGAAGCGGGGGCGGGGGGGGCGCTGCGCGCGCGCGGCCGTTGCGACCGTTGCGGCCGTTGGGGCAGGTGCGTGCGGGGGCTGCGCGGCCGTTGCTGCCCGGGGGGGCGTCGCGGGGGCGGCGGGGCACCCCCGGGGTGGCCTTTGTTGTCTCCGTGGGGCCGAGGGCAGCAGTTACCCCCCTCCTTTCCCCGCTTCCCGGGGTGGGCAGCGCCTGGTGGCCATTAAAAAATATTAATTAAAAAATAATAAACGCCATGAGGGATTTTTTTTTTCTCTCCCTTTATGAGGCTTTTAATAAAGTTTCGGCCTACCTGGCCCTCTGCGCGGCTCCACCTGGCCGGGGGGATGGAGCCGGCCCGCCCAGGGCGGGGGGATTGGGGCAACTTGGGCCCAAAAGGGGCGACTTGTGCAGCCCAGGGGCCCGACCCGCGCCCCCGACCTCGCCCTGGCCCTTTTCCCCCTTATTCTTTTCTTTTTATTCTTTTATTATTTTTAATGAATACAATCCATTTGGAAGGTATGGAATAGCCAATTCTTTTCAATATTATTTTTATTGTCCTTTCCTCTTTTTTTTTTTTTAAGCTTTGCCTACAGTCCATCTGATGCCATTGACGGATTTGGAGTATTCTGTGGGTTTTTTTGTGTCTGTTATTCATTTCTTTTCTTATGAAATATATTTAAACAGGAATTATCACAGGCTAGCAACAATGAAAGTTTCCTATTTAAAAGTCATAAGGCTTAATTGTAAAAAAAAAATGTTCTATTTGATCTTAGTTTTTACTCAGTTGTATCAAGGGCGTGTAATGCTTTTTTTTTTTTTTTTTCCTTTTCCTTCCTTTTTTGTGTGTGGCGTGGTCACAGCTGGCAAGCTTAGTTATATTTAAAACTTACACGATCAGGATGTGTTTTTTTTTTTTCTCTTAATATTCTAAGAAAACTTCCCAAATTACACATTTTTCATCAGGAGACTTAATGTGCTTGYTCCAGCCTACTATGTTGTGGGCATTATGGACTGCAGAGACAGACTTGAGGGGTTCAAATGGCAATTCAAACCACAAGGTTCGGTTTTATTACTCTATGTGCTGAAAGATATATTTTATGGTAATGTGGAACTCTTGCATAATTCTGTGCTGGTTTGTTGTGTGCAAGGCAAGGTCACAGAAAATTGGACTGTTAGGATGTAAAATATGAGACTTGATTAAAAAAGAATCTTGTGTTGATATCCTCAACGAAGTAAAACACACTTAGGAAGCTCTCCTAAACCTGTTTGTCTTGGCAAATAACATATCTGTCTCAGATATGGTATTTTCAAGCAAACTCATCAATGGGATTTTATTGTGGAAAAAAATCAAAACGTAGATAAATTTTGCCCCATAAACTTGAGGTAATGATAAACTAGGCAGCTATATTTTTCCAAGATAATATAGTTAAATATTTAATATATGGCATGTTATCAAAAATTGTCCATTACAAATTAACCCTGACTGTGCATTCCTGAAGATGACGTGCGATAAGGCTGCTGTGGCTACAGGTTGTGCTCCAGGAAGTTTGGCTCCCTAGTGCTCGCTGTGATTGCTCCGTGTCATAAAGTAACTACGCAGCATCCTCCCAACACGACGATGTTCCTGCTATGCAGTCGCATCTGGGACAAGATTGATTATTTTCTCTTAATGACTTGGACATAATGACGARTGGAAATGAATGCCTTCCTTTACGAAGTGTGATATAAAGTGCTTTAAAGATGGACCTTTACTCTTTGAGAAAGAAAAAAAAAATATGCGGAAGAGCAGAAAAAAWTCTAGTGTGTATAGAAACTAAATAGCTTTGGATAATATCTGAGAAAGAAAATTCCTAGCTGGAAGTTCTTGAGGAACTGGTGGTCTTGTCCTAAGAGGAGGCCAGATCTTTGGGACGTGGCCGTTGAGCAGTTTGGGTGGTGGCAGTGCCCAGGGTGTTTTTCACACCCATTACTCTTACAGTCACTTCTAATGAAGAGCTGACAAACATCTGATGTCCAGTGCAGCAGCGCTGCGTAATGGAGTGAGCGTAAATGAGCTCTGCGTGTACTGACCRCGGCGCTATTTCCATAACTGGTTAATCATGCTAACTTCATCCCAACTGTCAGCCCTTTGATTGCCTTAAAACTGAGAGCTTTAAGAAGCCTCTCTTGCTGCTATGAGATGCCAAAGGTCTAATTTCTTACTTCATAAAGATACTGGTAGGCCTTATCTTGGGACTTTTTTTCTTCTTGAACAAATGATGCCATTTTGATCAGCTTTAAGAGTAATATACTATAGAATACTTCGATATCCATGATTCTGCTTTTAGTGGATCCCATACTGAGGATGGGGAAACAAATATCAAGGCCTTTAGCGGTGGCTATCAGTGCTACCTAGTGCAGAGTACAAGTTACTGTAAAATCCTTTATTGTGTGATCGGTACTCAGGAAAACAACTTTCCAGTGTTCTAGTGCCATATTTGCAGAGTGCTAAATCATCTCTGGGGATCTTGCTAATAGAAAATGAAAGATGTCTGGTTTGTATGACTGTCTGTAATGTTCTTTTTCCACTTTGCCTCGCTCTGATCTGAGCAGGGAAAGTATTGAAATGTACTAGTATCCTGCTGTCTTAAGTGCTTCAAAGAGCTGCATTTTTCTGTGTATTTCGGGAGCCTCGCTGCTCATTAAGGAAGCATGAGACACTGTGGAGGAGAACAACGTGTGTGCTGTCCTCTAGAAGAAAACCTGCTAAGCCTAATTGTAGGCCCACTAGCATTGCTGTAYTTAGATTTTGTTGCATACCACAATATGCTGCATAATGCACCATAAAAAAAACTCCCACAAATATTCAGTTTTGGTGCCTGGGATATAATTGTTTTCCTTTTGGGCCCGRGGAACATATAAAATGCCTGGATGCTGCAGTCATTGGAGACTGTAAGCTTCAGCGTGAATTGAGAACTAAGTGATTTTAGAAGTTTATCATCTCAAGCTGGCCCAGTGATGCAGGAGGTAGAAAGTTGCACAAAAGCCGGTATTGCTTATTTGTAATTTTGCAAATACTGTCTTGGCTTGGATTTTCAAATTTGAGTTACTAGTTTTAAGTAACTAAATTGTAGGTGGTTTTTACAGGGAAGGTAGCTTCAATTGAGTTTCTTCAGACTGTAACATATGTCGTCAGAATTGCAACATGAAGTTAAATGCATGTAAATAATATTTAAGTTACTGTGAGTGGTTATACTAACTAAAAAATTAAGAACTATTCTGTTTTGAGTTTGCATGTTACTGACAACTGGAAATGTTTACCAGAATTTGGCTTATACTTCATTATCATGCATTTTTATATGAAAAATTTCTTTGAAAATTCTTGCTTGAATAATATGTTCACTGGAATGCTTTTCTTCTGTATATATTAGGTGATTCTTAATGCAGTTTTTCCTTGGTATCATCACCAAATTTGATCTCGGAACGGATTCCTGAGTGCTTTAATTGTTAATAGTGTCTCTGTGTTCTCATGTCACCTGGGGCTGTTAACATAAATGCCTCTAACTAGTGACTTCTGCTCCAGGTCAAACACAGATCCTTCACACCACCTGTGTCTTGGCTTGTGCTCTGATCTGAAAAAAACACCATGTCCTCTTCCAGGTGGGATAGCGTGAGCCTGGATGGGGAGTAGCCTGGATGGGCACAGGTCCTCCCTGGCCACGGGCGCTGGTGCTGTGACCAGGTACAACCAGTCCCAGCCCGGGCCTGGCCACATCGCTGCTCTGCTGGCTCTCCTTATCTCAGCTTTGTGGTGGAGGAAGAGTCTGAGGAAGCTGAAACTTGATGTGTTTTGTTGTCCTGACGCAAGCAATATATTTTTGAGTAATATTTCTCCTTCCAGGGTTCCTTAAACTGCTTGAAATAATTGGTCTGGATTCTTGTATGAGACTTCTGATGTTATGCGGTTCTCTTTTGTTGTTGACTGCTCCCGTCCTTCCTCCAAGTACAGTTGTACTGACGTTGTCTACAGATACTGATTCCTCCATCATGTTACTGTATAATACTAAATTTGCAAGGCATGAGAGGTAGAATACTTCGGGGGTAGTGAGCCAGGAGGGAGAACATTTGAATGCAGTCTGGTGCTATGGAGATGGTACGAAACCTGCCTTTTTATTTCACACTGCTCTCTGCTTCCTCCTGCTATCTTGCCCTCCTAATTATCTTGCACTTTAGACATGCATGTATCTATTTTAGTGCTTATTTGAATTGCTGTTCTGTTCCCTATCTTCAGCAGGGTGATATACATGCTTTTTTTGGGATTTGGTTTCCTTCAGCGTCCAGACCCAATGTTTCAGTGGATGCTCTCTTTCAATAAAAAAAAAAAAAAAAAAAATTATTCCTTATAATAAAATTTTAATCTGTGCATCATTTACTTTTTAATGCTTATAAAGGAGCGCACACACACACACACACACACACAAAAGTTGATCTTTAAAGTCATGTTAAATTCAAAGCATTTTATTAGACTAAAAACATGCCAGGCATCTCACCTGGAGATATTTTGCTACGTATGCTCTTTAAGGCAGAAATAGGTTGGCTGATTTGCTATGTATGATGTTCAATACAGCAATAGTTACACTCAAGGTCAGTCTTCTGGGTCTGCCCTTCTAGGAGGGGCTGCTTGAAGACAGGCAGTGGAAACAGATAAAATAGCACATCTGTTCCTCACTCTGAAGAAATTCCCCAGCCAAACGTTGGAGTTAATCTCACTGCAGTAGAACCTTATAGAGACTTTCTGCAGTTCTCCAGATGTCACTTACATAATGTTCCGTCTTCTAAAATCAGAATAGTGGTTATCATTATTTAAAAAGCAGAAATCCAAGCAGAGCGAGCTCTCTGCTTTCGCTTGTTGGGTCTGTTCTGCTTGG